ATGAAGGTCTAGTCAGAGACATATTAGAGGCAGAAACAGGAGTTAGGAGGGGTAGAGGTAGACCTAGATTAGATTACTCTTCGCAAATAGTTAAGGATGTGGGCTGTTCTAGTTTTAGGGAAATGCAAAGTTTAGCTCAGGATAGGAAAGAGTGGAGGTACGTATCCAACCAGTCTTAGGACTGATGACCTTATGATGATGATGATGATGTAACTGGTGAAATTATGTAGTGGTGAGAATGATGAAAGCAGAGATCCACGATAGATGTTAAAATTACAACTCTTTGGGGTGATTTCACTAAAGATAGTAAGTGATTTGATCAAACCCCTTAACTGTTTTACTGAAAAGATGAAATAAACAAGTCTGGTCTCGCTCTATGTTTCACTTGTTACCACAGTTTTGGTTTATGTCCTTAAGATAGATAGAGGCCCATTAAATGGAAATGACATTGTGGATATCATATTAGATATAAAAAATAATTATAAATAATTACGCTACCTACCAATGCTCTTCAAATAGTTACTATAACATCTATCAAAACATTTTCACAAACTTCACTAGGTGTGTGTGAGATTGAAGGAAAATTATCCTTATTTGGAGGTCAAGGATTTAAGAAGAGTTCCTTTGAACAATGTAAAATAAAAAGATGTGCCTATAAAAAAGTAACGTATGTACTTGATTATAACTCGAAATGTCACAAATCATCAACAACGTGTTTTAATAGCATTAAATAATTATTATTTATCAATTACATTCACTAAAAATGTTTAAAAATTCACTAAAAAGTATGCTTTTTGTTTTTAACAATATTATTTCTTTTGTTAATTTGTTTCGAATAGGTAGTCTGTTTTGGTGGAAAGATCAAATAATATTGAATAATAATACTTTCTTCAATAATTTTAACATCATCCGTGAATTGATGATCTACCTTAGGGATTTTCCTACGACAAGTATAAAATTATCCATTATTCTTGAAATAGGGGTGTAATTTCGTGTTTTGAAATACCTCCACGAACCCTACAAAAAATTGCATCGACCTTATTTGCATCTATTCACAAACCTTCATTCATACATTTTTATGTAGAGTAAATAGAAAAAGTTCTGTAAGTAAAAAACAATAGTAAAATTAACTACGAAGCATTATTTCGGTGCAAATAAGAATAATAACAGTAAACTGGATTTAGGGGCTGGTATTAAGACTTAATCTATTATTAATGCTATCGGAAAAGCGTAATATTGATATTTATAGATTATTTAATTTGTTCTGTATTAATTTTTTGTAGGATTTGCGATTACGAAGATTTTTAAAAAGATGTAGGCTAAAGGGGGGGGGGGGGCTCAATAGCGAGAAACGCTGGTATACTTACTTATTACATATTAGACTACTACATCCCCTACACATTCAAACCCAAGTATGATAATCTGTTTTCTGTACGAATAGATATATTAGCAATTTTCTTACGTATTATCAGATATTGTACCTACTATCAAGCCACATTGAGTCGTATTTTAGCGTTCTTTTAAAGTTGTACTCTTTCCGACCGCTGGTAAAGTTATATAAATCTGTTCGAAATATAACGGCGTCAGCATTTGTAAATTCCACATTGGTTCCTGAATAAAGTCCCGGCAGATTTCCTGGATTTCCCTTTTCAACCCAAACAGCCGTCGAGTTGTCGAGAGGATCGTACGGGCATTTCGCAATACCCAATCCTATTCCCGGAATAAACGTGTTGCGACCAAGATGGGTCAAATTTGACTATACAAAATATCGATTATTAAACGAGGATAATAATTTTATAATAAAAGTTAATTAGTTTCAACGTTAAATTAAATTTAATATTAGTAAAAAAAATGTAGAATTATTGAGTATTTTAATTTTTTTTTATACTGAATTTTTTGAAGCAAATACAACTCATTTTTTAAAATGTATCACTCAATACTTACATGCACTATCCAGTCTTTTGGATTATAAGCGTTGGTTCCACATATGTACAATTTTTTGCCGTCTCCTATTGGTTGAATTACCCTAATATGATTTCGGCATTCGAATTGCTTAAACAAATGAAAGCATTACAAATTTTATCGATATTCCACAATCTCATGAATAAATTTAACATTCCAAGTAAATAGTAGAACGTAAGTTGTTACGAAAAACTAAATTCTAAAAATTTGCTCTCATCCAAACTTCGTATCAAATCGAAATCATTCAGGAAAACGGAAAATCGCTCGTAATTCGCCTGTTATCAAAAACTAAAAATTCTTATATTGGTAAAATATCAACGCAAAATTTTCTTGATTTTCATTTCCTATCGATCATTTTGTTGTTACTAGACAAAACAAAATAAATTTAGTTTTTACCTAAAGTACAGTACTTTTGCTCTAAAATAATTACTCTTTTTCAATCGGAAAACATTTATTACCAAATGTATATACACAACAAATAAATAACACAAAAAGAAATACTTGCAATTATATCAGATTCAGTCGACATACAGAAAATTTCACAGGACAAATTAGTGAATTTTAGCGTAAGCCAAAGGAGCCGATGCAAATTTCGCTACAGGGGCGGCGTAAGCAAATTTGGCCACAGGTGCGGCATAGGCAACAGGTGTTGGATGTGCTGCGTAGGCAACCGGGGTCGGATGTGCTGCATAAGCCACTGGAGCTGGATGAGCTGCGTAAGCCACCGGAGCTGGATGAGCTGCGTAAGCTACTGGAGCTGGATGAGCTGCGTAAGCTACTGGAGCTGGATGAGCTGCATAAGCTACTGGAGCTGGATGAGCTGCATAAGCTACTGGAGCGGCTGCGATTTTAGCTGGTTCCTTGTGAACAACTGCATTAAATCCATTCACCGGATCAGCGGTGTATTCTACAATCCTTCTGGTACCATCAGGTTCAGCGAGGGAGTAACTACCCTGGACGGAATCCCCGTTACGTGTTTCATACTGATTTTTGCTATCACCAGTCAAGGCATCTTCGATGTTATAGCTGTACGAATATTGAGGATTGGGGTCGTAGTCAGCGTCTGCAACAGCAACAGCTTTGGCTACTGGAGCTGGTGCTGGGGCTGCATACGCGATTGGGGTAGGTTGAGCTGCGTACGCTACGTGAGCAGCAGGTGCCGCGTAAGTTAAAGGACCGGGTGCAGCGGCATAGGCCACGGGTGCTCCGGCTCTGGCGATGGTAGCCATGGTGGCGAAAACGAAAAATTTGAACATCTCGAAGCGGTACTGCTGGCACAAGAAAGTATCTGCCGATGATAATGCGAGTGATTCTGCACTGACTACATGCCATCAACGAAGGGCTTTTATATATCTGTACAAAATAAGACGCTTGAAGAAGAAATTTAAATGTCGGGGCCGATGCAGCACAAACGAAGGCGAAAAGTTGAAATGCGACCTGTCCCTTCGGCGGAAAGTAGGGCACAATTATTACACGGTCGACAGTAATTAAATTCATTACGTAAAGATTGTATATTGGGATATACATGCGTATAATGTGCATTGTCTGCAGTTATATTTCGTGATAGGGTTTTACTTTACTTTAAAGTATTGTTATTATGAAAATCCACAATTATATCGTTATAATATAATAATAATAATAATAATAATAGATCAGATAGAGCCGTACTATAAATACAAACCACAAAATGTATTAGACAACCACTTAACGAAACTTTATTGGGATAGAGACATAATTACAAACAAAACAGTTAATCACAACAGACCTGACATCACACTGACCGTCAAAAAAAACTAAAACAACCACCTAATAGATGTTACTGTACCAAACACTTAAAATCTTCAACAAAAACATATTGAGAAAATTCAAAACTACATTCCCTAAAGAAATGTGGAAACAGAACACAGTTCAAATTATTCCAATAATCATATCATCAATAGGCGTTATACCTAAAACATTACACCCTAGCCTAGCCGAGTTGAAACTTCATAAACTTGTGTACAAGGTCAGTAAACTTTGATACATGCGGAATAGTACGCCGATTTTTTAACAATACAGACATATCCCCCTTTTCAGATAGAACAACAAGTTAAATTAGAAGCGGAGTTTTTAATAATCACTAATCATATTTCAAAGTAGGACGTACTGTTAGTTCTAAAATTTAAGAACAAAAAATTGATTTCCCCATATCGTATTCCAAAAGATGTGACTCAAGTTCTTTGGCATTAGCCGGTCTTCACTCGCTCAAAGTTAACCAGTGAAAACTGAGAAGACCACGAAAATAATAATATTCATTTTTTCAATGTTAACAACACATCTTACGTTAGATATAGGTATAATCAGTTAGACTTTAACATCCTTCTCTTATACCCCCATCCGTTCAGCCACTTTAGGTAGTATTAGTCCTTAGTCATTAGTCCTTTGTTTACTTAGTGAAATGCAAACTTCTGATGTTGCCGCAATAAGTAGTTAAAAGTTAAATTTTTTTTGACGCCCCCTGAAAAGCTTACTTTTGATGGAAAAAACGCGACAGAAAGAAAAATGTTTTTTTCTGGTAAAAATAACCCGTGCTGCAAGACGATCCAACTTCATTTTTTGGTAACAATCGTGTGTTTTTAAAAATATTTAATGATAAATATGAACAATTTCATTAAACAAATGAATAAAATTTCTAAAATTCTTCAGTTAATAAATAAGTATGCTTAACATTTTCATTAAGAAGTAACGACTTTGTCATCGAGAATTATTATACATACATGTTACTGGAAATATATAAAATCTAGGAATGGTATACAATTCCTAGAAAACGTATACAATTCCGAGGCTATTTAGGAAATGTATAAAATATTGTTTCAAAGATTTTTTAGTACACACATATCCTGGGATAAGTATACATTTCCTAGGAATTGTATGAACTTCCGATATTATACTAGGAAATGTATAAAACTAATGCTTTCTGTGTTTCCGGCGAGCAGGGGCATTGAATGAATTGTATACATTTCCTAGGAATTGTATACTATTCCTAGATTTCATACATTTCCGGTAACATATAGATACACAATTTAACCCCTTTTGGTAGGTACTCCACCCAAACAAATGGTATGTGTGCAATTTTGAAAAAGGATTTTATTTTTTCGAACGTTCTGACATAATATCTGTAAATTTGAAATCTTTGTCTCATTTTATTTAGGAACTAAGCAGCTTTCTGATGAATTTATTTAGGTAATAGAATATGGAATTTTCAAACTGTATTCATCTTCACTGTTGAAAAATTAATTTTTTTTTTGTTTGTTTTGTTTCATTATCTACTGTTTACATTCACGTTGACCGAAACTTGTCAAAAACTAAATTAATAAGCAGCGGAAAGGCTCCATAATTTAATTTTATGTTGTTACCAATACATCATTAGTAAATTAAAACGTCATACCGGCTGTTTCCGCCAACCTTGCGCATTGTTTTAAAGAAAAATTGAATTAATATGATATTAACGTTTTTGTTTATGCGGTACCTAAACATTGTTCTTAAGTATATATTTTTTCACGAACAAATTATGTAATAACAACCCATTTTCCTTAAAAGAACAGTTATATTACATAATTGAATGTAATGATAATAGAAATGCCTTTTTCGTTCATTTTAAATAAAATTTACGCCAAAAGTCAGCTAGCACTTTGCAACATCGGCTCGATTATGAAACGTTAATTGTTTTCGGCTGACACGTGTAAAAAATAATTATTTGGATATATATCTGAGTTGAAATTCAAGTTTGTAAAGTAACAAACTTATTGCAGTTATTACAGCAGGTTGATATTTAAGAACTGTTCGAATTCTTGTAAATTCGATTCAACAACTTTTAAGTGACCGCCTAATAAGAAATACGTAATATCGGTGACTGTGTCAAAATAAAAATATTGCTTTTTTTAACGCAATTAAAATCAGAAACCAGGGTATACTCACTAGTGTCACTATCTAGAACAGTCGCTAAATAATGTACATCGTTAAAATTATTCATATTTTTTATTTATTTTATCATATTCATAGAAATTCGAAAAAGGTTGTTAATGATGTATGTTTGGAGCGTGGCGCTGTACGGGTGCGAAATATGGACGGTGGGCGGGGCGGAAAATAAAAGGTTAGAAGCGTTCGAAATGTGGTGTTACAGGCGAATGATGAGGATACCGTTGATAGAGAAGGTTAGAAATGTAGAGGTATTAGAAAGAATAGGAGAACAGAGAACTGTATGAAAGTCAATAAAAAATAGGCGAGATAGGTTGGTAAGACACCTTCTCAGGCATGAAGGTCTAGTCAGAGACATATTAGAGGCAGAAACAGGAGTTAGGAGGGGTAGAGGTAGACCTAGATTAGATTACTGTTCGGAAATAGTTAAGGTTATGGGTTGTTCTAGTTTTAAGGAAATGCTATGATTAGCTCAAGATAGGAAACAGTGGAGGTGTGTGTCAAACCAGACTTAAGACTGACGATCTTATGATGATGAATGCAAATACATACCAAAAAAAGGAATTTTTGGAAACTCTCCCTACTATGCTTACTATCGATTTCTAATTATTAGTGCTCTTTTTCGGGATTCTATGTACAAATTTGTACCCAGGAGATACATTGTATGTCACTTAATATTTAAAGAACGAAAGGGCCTAGAAAATTTGCTTAATAAACCTTTTAAAAGTTTGGAAACTCTTTCAGCTTTTCAAATTTTTTTATTAAAAATCTCCTTTTTTTTCGTGGTCCAATGTTTACCATTTGGTTATGAATCCTAAAATCGGAATTCTTATAAAATCAATTGTTCGTCTTTTCGGCATTAAAAGGTTTGTAATATACTTAATATAAATTTTGTAACATGAGCGAAAACATTCTTCAACTAATCATCGCAAATTTACAGTTAATTTTAGTTAATTTTATTTACTTACTTATTTTGTAATTCATTGTATTGTTCTTTTCGGTTGGACTATTATTAATAAATTCACTTTTTCGGCTATCACCGTTCACAAAAGAACTATTAAGATTTATTTAATGCCAACGGTTCAAAAAAGGCAGAGTAGGCGATACAACACCTGGTCGAACTATTCTCTTTATCTGATTCCATTTGTTAATTTATTGTTCATAGAAATTCAATCAATCACACAACGTGTGTTCACTATTTGAAGTCAGTTGATTTGGAAGTGATAATAAAATGCAGCAGTAGCTATAAAATTACCTAACGCGATATGGTTTATGTAAAAATGAAACTGATTCATTAATATTTAACTTATAACACCTTCATGCTTTGCAAATAATTTATTTACAAAAAGTAAACTAGTTCATTTCTATACAACATATTTACATTGACAAATATGAGTACCTATATATTCAAAGTAATATAATTTATAATAATTATTCATTTATCAATCCTGAGTTGTTGAAAACTTCACTCACTTGCTATTAGTGGTGGAATTTCGCCACAACAGGAGCAGCGTATCCAACGGGAGGAGGAGGAAGGACTAAAGGTTCTTTCCTTACTACAGCATTGAATCCATTGATAGGATCGGCAGCATAATCAACAGTTCTTCTTGTGCCATCAGAGTCAGACAGAGAGTAACTTCCTTGAACAACGTCTCCACTTCGGGTTTCGAATTGAGCTTTGCTGTCACCAGTGAGGGCATCGTCAACGGTGTATCCGTAAGAGTATTGGGGATTAGGGTCGTAGTCGATGGTTTTGGCGATCACAGCTGGAGCTGGAGCAACTACCGGAGGAGGAGGAAGGACTGACCTGAAGACTGGAGCTGGTGCGGCTATTGCTGGCGGTGGTAGTAAGGGTGCAGTCCTGAATACCGGAGCTGGAGCGAAAACTGGTGGTGGAGGTGGTGGCGGATAAGCTCGGAAAACTGGAGCTGGAGCAAAAACCGGTGGTGGTAGAGGTGCTGCCCTAAGCAAAGGTGCGGGTGCTGGGGCTAAAAATCCTCCACGAACTAAAGCCACCAAAGTAGCAAACAAGCACAGTTTGAAAACCATTTTGTATATGACGTACGTTGCTATTGTTCTTGGTTAGAACTTGAGCAGACACTGATTTTAATGAGAATTTGTTACCTTTTTATACTGTGAATTTTGGCAAACTGGTCTGCAATCCTTCGGTCAAGTTTATGCTAATAGATGCAACGCCCATGGTTAACAGCTACCTAACATTTCACAAACAATTAGTTCAGTTCGATACAGTACTAGAAATTCTAATAATGCCGAAATGTCGAGATAAACCAGTACGGGCGGGCGAAAATGAAAGTTGTTGGTCAAATTAATGCAAACGGAACTGAATTAAGATGTTCTTCCATCGCCGTTTGCGTGATTTGATTAATTCGCTTCTTAGGTAATAGATGAAACGTTTGCATGTTATTAACCTATCTGTATTGTACTAAAAAACGCATGTTAATAATTTATAATAATCATAAATTTGGAAGTTAATAAATAAATAATTGTGTGATTAAATTGTTGCTGAAAAGAGTTATTTTAGCTACTTCTCGTTACTTTTAACTTTCATAACAACCTAACCTAACCTGACCTAACCTAACCTATCTGTATTATACTAAAAAACGCATGTTAATAATTTATAATAATCATAAATTTGGAAGTTAATAAATAAATAATTGTGTGATTAAATTGTTGCTGAAAAGAGTTATTTTAGCTACTTCTCGTTACTTTTAACTTTCATAACAACCTAACCTAACCTGACCTAACCTAACCTATCTGTATTGTACTAAAAAACGCATGTTAATAATTTATAATAATCATAAATTTGGAAGTTAATAAATAAATAATTGTGTGATTAAATTGTTGCTGAAAAGAGTTATTTTAGCTACTTCTCGTTACTTTTAACTTTCATAACAACCTAACCTAACCTGACCTAACCTAACCTATCTGTATTGTACTAAAAAACGCATGTTAATAATTTATAATAATCATAAATTTGGAAGTTAATAAATAAATAATTGTGTGATTAAATTGTTGCTGAAAAGAGTTATTTTAGCTACTTCTCGTTACTTTTAACTTTCATAACAACCTAACCTAACCTGACCTAACCTAACCTATCTGTATTGTACTAAAAAACGCATGTTAATAATTTATAATAATCATAAATTTGGAAGTTAATAAATAAATAATTGTGTGATTAAATTGTTGCTGAAAAGAGTTATTTTAGCTACTTCTCGTTACTTTTAACTTTCATAACAACCTAACCTAACCTGACCTAACCTAACCTATCTGTATTGTACTAAAAAACGCATGTTAATAATTTATAATAATCATAAATTTGGAAGTTAATAAATAAATAATTGTGTGATTAAATTGTTGCTGAAAAGAGTTATTTTAGCTACTTCTCGTTACTTTTAACTTTCATAACAACCTAACCTAACCTGACCTAACCTAACCTATCTGTATTGTACTAAAAAACGCATGTTAATAATTTATAATAATCATAAATTTGGAAGTTAATAAATAAATAATTGTGTGATTAAATTGTTGCTGAAAAGAGTTATTTTAGCTACTTCTCGTTACTTTTAACTTTCATAACAACCTAACCTAACCTGACCTAACCTAACCTATCTGTATTGTACTAAAAAACGCATGTTAATAATTTATAATAATCATAAATTTGGAAGTTAATAAATAAATAATTGTGTGATTAAATTGTTGCTGAAAAGAGTTATTTTAGCTACTTCTCGTTACTTTTAACTTTCATAACAACCTAACCTAACCTGACCTAACCTAACCTATCTGTATTGTACTAAAAAACGCATGTTAANGGTATTGGAAAGAATAGGAGAACAGAGGACTCTATGGAAGCCAATAAAAAATAGGCGAGATAGGTTGGTAGGACACCTTCTCAGGCATGATGGTCTAGTCAGAGACATATTAGAGGCAGAAACAGGAGTTAGGAGGGGTAGAGGTAGACCCAGACCTGTTCGCAAATAGTTAGGGATGTGGGTTGTTCTAGTTTTAGGGAAATGCGAAGTGTAGGTCAGGATAGGAAAGAGTGGAGGTGCGTGTCCAACCAGTCTTAGGACTGACGACCTTATGATGATGATGATATAAAATACGTATACCTATGCGTTTTTGGAAATTCTTGAATATTTTTCTATTAATAATTTTGTAAGCATATAAAGCGATTAATTATGCCTAATGTTTATCTTAACTATTTTAACAAAAGTAAAGACCTTTGATACTAAGCTTTTTGCACTTATTATTTTTTATTCAGAAATAATTATTTCATCATTATTTTGATTAATATGCAACATGGAGGGTACGGCCCATGTCCTTTTGTGTACGTGTACTTTTTATTAGCATAAATGGAATCAGGTGCACCTACTTGTTTGTTTTAACGATAATCTTGTGTGCATTAGGACCTGTATAATACAAACTTATGCAATTCAAGCTAGACTTTAGTATTTAGTAATCGCTTCTTGTAGATATATTGAGATAAATGCAGATTCCTCCATTTCTAAAATAATTCTTTCCATTTCGAAAGTTCATTGTCGACATTAAATTGATAGGAAAAATGGTTAGTCAATACTTTTAAATAAGTAAATCTATTTTTCTAGACGCTTTACATTTTATTTGCCTTTCATCAAAAAGTTAAACATTTGTAACAGGTAGGTAACTGTTAAAATCTAACCACAACTGTTCATTTTATGACGTCCGATTTGTAAGGAAAATGACTATTTTTTGTTGAAATGTTCCACACCCTACCAGAAGGGGAGTTGGTAGATAATTATTATATTACTAAAGACGACGACCTTATTTAACCGGAACCCTTTAATATTTTGCAAAGTGTCACTAAATAACAAACTAATTCTGGGAACAGATTTAATTATCTTCAGCAATTTAATCTTGTCTTAATACTCTTATGCCTGATAATAAACTCGTTCAATAAAATGTAACTAATGTAAAATGTATAAAAGAAACAAATATTGTAAGCTTCTTTTTCAATAAATTTGACTAAACTTCTATTTCATTCATTACCTGGATAGTTCAAATTGACTGTTTCTATGTGAGTGATTTTTTGCAGTTGAATTTTATGCCGATGCTGATCAAAAAATAAAAATTTTTAAAAAAATGTGTTAATATCTTTCTTTAAAATTAACTCTATCCTGTTCACGAAATCACGAGTCAACTACTACTATCTTTAATGGTTCAGTCCTTCAAACGATTGTGGGCCAGTTTCACTCCTGAGTATCTCCAGATAATTTTGGTGGTAATCTGGATGGAATCGGTCCGTTCAATCAAAAGTTATCGACGATATTGTGGACTCATGAAAACGGTGAAACAAAAGTGAGGGTAAACGAGTCCTGGCTGGAACGTATAGGACGTCGCTCTGTGAAGCAATGAATTTTTAACCGCGGTCTTGCTCGTGAACTCCTCTTTTAAGTTCGCTGCAGCTTGAAAACTGAATGCATTTTCAGAAAACAATTTTCACAGACGGATGTTCCGTCTTTGAGTGGGTATCATAAAATGGCTGCTGCTGATTTTTGGAAATTTTTTCCTTCAAAATTAACTCCATCCTGTTTACCAAGGCACGGATCAACTCCTAGTTAAAGAATGTTTGCATTATCTTTAATAGTTCGCTCTACTAGAAAATGTAACTCAAGCAGGCACTATCCAGTTTCAAAACATCTTACGTCAAGCGGAGTTATGAATTTTTATGTTAAAATCCTTAAGATTCCTTATAGTCTTTTATAATAGTGGTTTTGAAAGTAAGTAAAAACATCATTAACAATTGAAATAAAAATGCACCAAATTCATTATTTCAAATTTAATTTTCTAGTTAAATACATATATACACAGACAAAGTCATATTTACAGAATTCCAGTCGTATACAAAAGTAAAATTGCATAAAATTAGTGAATTTTCGCTATAACCGGGGGGTGAGGGGCTGCAAAAGCAACTGGTGCCGGGGCAACGAGAGGTTCTTTCCTTACTACAGCATTGAATCCGTTGATAGGATCAGCAGCGTAATCAACAATTCTTCTCGTACCATCAGAGTCAGTCAGAGAGTAACTACCTTGGACAACGTCTCCACTTCGGGTTTCGATTTGGGCTTTGCTATCACCAGTGAGGGCATCGTCAACGGTGTATCCAAAAGAGTATTGGGGGTTGGGATCGTATTCGGCATCCACGATGGTTTTGGCGACGACTGGAGCTGGAGCAAGAACTGGGGCAGCTCTTAGAACTGGTGGAGGCAAAGGAGCAAGTGGCGCTGGTGCATAAACTGGTGGTGGGAGAGGAGCAGCTCTCAAAAGTGGAGCAGGAGCTACGAAAGGTGCTGGTGGATGAGCTAACAATGGTGCTGGAGCCAAAGGTGGTGCTGTCCTAAACAATGGTGCAGGCGCTGCTACAAGAGGAGGTGGCGCAAAGGGTGGTAAAGGTGCAGCCCTGAAAACAGGAGCTGGTGCTGGCAATAGGTTTCCAGCATGGGTGAACGCTACGCAGAGGACGAATACAAGGAATCGTTGTACCATTTTGCTGAGAAGGTTATTCGATTACTGAATTGGTGACAATCGACTTGCTTTTTTATACGAAAAAATTTCGCAAAACCTTGTCTAGTAGGTAAGGTGGCCCGGTCAAGTTTACATATTCAAATTGGACACGCCCAGCCGTTTGAAATTAATGGTTGCATTAGACTTATTGTAGCAATTCCAAGGAATTCCACATGAAATATGCATGTGGGGCGATTTTTTGACTCTTTGATATTTTACTGTCACAAAAATTCCGAAGTCATAAAAAAAGATTTTATCAATCTCAAACTCGATAAGCAGTTAGACATCTTATTTTAATTAATCTGTTAATAAGGTATTTATTCTGTCTTTAAAACAATATAAATATTGGTATGATTTTTTAAGCCGTTTTAATTCCACTACCAAATTACAAAATTATTGAATTGTCCATCTTTAGGATTATGAAGTTTTGTTTCAGGCATCTAATCGTATGTAAATGTAACATGGAATTTAAATATGATAATGCGTTCATAAATAAAAAAAGTGAAGCAATAATAAATTTTAGTTCCAACGTCGAGCAAATTTGCCACATGAAAAAAAAAGTAGTTTATGCAGTACACTTTGTTTTGAAGACAAATTCTTTTTATTTAATATTGAATAAACACGTATCAATTATTAACTTCATTACATTAATGAAATTGAAAAATATTCGCAATCGATTTGTAAAGTGTGTTCAACTTTTTAAAATCTGAAAATTAATAAAAACAATATAATTCACCAAGAAAAAATTTAGTTGTTCATTAAAATTGAAATTAGTTAAGCGGTTGTCCGATATTAAGTATTATGGGTTACGTTATCGAAAACATCAACGGAGGCATTTGAATGCTCCAGTTTAAAATACCACTTTCATGTGAATCTGATGTAACAGGCGTACGAATTTCTCGGCCATTTTCAAACTTGAACTCGTTTTCTTCGCATTGTTACATACTTAACAAGCAGTAGCTGTTGTGACAATACTTGTCTTCATTGAAGAGTGGGCGTGACCCACTTCAATCGTATTATCTCACACGGGTCGCAGCTGTACCAAAAATAAACTTGACCGACAACAATGCATTTCGAATTAAAACAGTATAAAAAGCCGCGAAGGGATGCTTTTCGTCAGTCTTCCATCGAGCAACAGAAGCAGAAACAAAATGGCACTTAAAGTCGTATTTTTTGTGGCATTCCTCGCATTAGTGAAGGGCGGTATCATAGCACCAGCTGCACCCCTCATTGCTGCAGCGCCTCCGGCACCACTTTTCAGAGCGGCACCAGCCCCAGTCTTTGCTCCAGCCCCTCTGGCCCGTGCAGCTCCACTTTCTGTTGTAGATGCCGAATATGACCCCAACCCCCAATATTCCTATGCTTACAACGTGGAAGATGCTCTTACAGGAGACAGCAAATCCCACAGCGAGTCCAGAAATGGAAACGTCGTCCAGGGGAGCTACTCCTTAACAGATTCCGATGGTACAAGGAGGACTGTTGACTATGCGGCTGACTCAGTTAATGGATTTAATGCCGTCGTCCGGAGAGAACCCTTGGGGGTACCAGTAGCCTCTGTGGCACCCGTGGCCCCTATTGTAGCCCGATATCACTAATGTTACGACACAATTTCGACTGATTGTTAAATAATTGTAAATGTTGTTTCGAATAATTAGGCTTTTTTATTATTAAATAATAGCACCATACTTTGTCCTAATTGTTTATTTACTTACCCTTATCTATATCTAAAGATATAATAATGAATTTTAATTAATTAAATGTTCTAGTATAGGGTGACAGGAAATTGGTCGTATTCCTCTCGGAAGAAGAAACTGTCACTAATTTGGAATCAGTTGGGGGTTGGAAATGTGTCATTTTTGAGAAAATCTACTAAGGACTTTGTTTTATTTCTTTTATTATTGTAAGCTTTAACACACAACGTAAAATCAAACGGTAAATTTCGTGGCTTTAAGAAAGTTGGGGAATCATGGAAATGTTTAGGCAAAAAACTAAAAATTTTTTTAAGTAGATTTTCTCAAAAATGGTACATTCCCATCCCCATGTGATAGAGGTTAAATCATTCAAAATCAGTACCTTCTCCCGAAAGAAATACAGTCAAAATCTGTTATAACGACAGTGAAGGGACTACTCATATTTGGTCGTAAAAACCGATAGTCGTAAGAGCCGATGACGTTATTATTAAGTACTTAATACCTATTATTGAATGTGTGATTAATATATTCATATATAAAATAAAACTACATTTTATTTATTTTACATAAAACGTATTATAAAAAGACATTACGTACATATAATTATCATTTTTCTATATTAATAAAATCTGGAATTTTAGTCTGTTTGGAACACTTCTGTCGTGCGTACAGACTTTGTAGTTCACGTTTAATTTTAATTAATGTATCATCATAATTTCCCTGCATATGAAACTGTTCATTAGAATAAAAAACAATTTTTCGTAATACACTGACAGCATTGAGACCA